ATTTATTACCTATTCCGATGAAACCCATTAATATATTCTTTTTATCATTTATAATACTCATTCAAAACTGTATAGTATCAAGAAAGTTAATCCAATGATTGTTATTTTATCTTTTTGTAATTATCTCAATAACCTACTCTCTAAAAAGCATCCAAATATTCAGTTGTATCAAATACAAAAAAATCATCCACACTTCCTGTATCTTGGTATTATAAATAATACTCTTTTTTCACATTATCATTTTTCGATAATTTATGGGTTAACATATTCTTTATCTACTCTCATAATCCAATAATTCTTGAAGGCAGTGACTCTTTTCCATAGGGGAATCTTTTTATTGCTATCAACAAAGTATTTCTTATACTTAATGTAAATTTAAAGACTTATGGCTTACATTAATATTAATTCTTTTCATCATGTTGATGTTTATTCTTGAAGAATATTCCTATTTATCTCCATTATGGAAAATGGATTTTAACCAAGAAGTAGAAAGTATAAAAATAAAATATGATAGGAATTTTACAAAAAAGCTTATATCCACATCTTTCATGAAGAAAGATTTGTCAATTATTAAATTAAATTAAATACAATTAATTTGAATGATTAATATAATATAAATGAATAACACTAATTAATTTAAAATTAAAAATTCACAAGATTTGAGAAGACCATTATCTAAAAAGAATTTTGGAATTACATACCAGAACAAGCTCAACCTTGTTCAGTAACTTAAATAAAATAATAAACACAAGCGAAGAGTTCAACTTAATTGAGCATATTAAATTTTTAGTTAGTTTAAAGTCTAAAAAAATGAATATGGAAATAAAATTTAATTAATAAGAGGATACAAATAAGTAGGGAAATACAAAGGAAATTCTTGAATATAGAAAGTTCTAAGATAAATTATCATATTTGGAATAAAAGATCATGAAATATAAAAATTCATATTGATAGTTGGGTGATGATCTCTCTCTATCAATTTCTCTACTCTTATTATGATGACTTCTCTATTATTTATCTACAATGTTTTATGTAGATGATTATCCCACTCCTTATTACTATGTTGTAATGGTAAGGTATTTATGTTGTTAATGTTCAACCATTTCTCGTATCTAGTCTGGAAATATATTGAATATCTTATTTTATTATGATGATGCGATCTCCACCGCAAACAATTCTTAATTAAAATTTACCTTTAATCATTTTATGATATATGGTTAGATTAACTATTTTTATTCGAGACAACTCTTTTAAGAAGAATTGAATTATGACTATAGTTTTTTTCACCGTTGATTATAAAGATAAAATAATAAAACAAATCGACTTGTTTTCTTTGTATCTGATGTAGTATATTTGGTGTTCTCAATATCCAAAATACTTTTGTCTCACAATAACACATCCAACAATAACTATCTTTATATGATTGAAGAGACTTCTTCTAAAAATGAAAACCTAAAATAAAATAAGCTTTTTTGAATATAATAATGTTTTTAGATCGATGCCAGATTAATTCTCAAATTTTCCTTTGTAAATTAAAGCTCCTTTTGCTTAAAATATTGCTTGTTGAGATATCAAGAGAATATTAATAAAGGTATCTAAAAAAAAAATAACAAATAATACTTTTTTCAAAAGTATTGATTAAATTAAAGGGTATTTGGAATTGTGCAAGATTTTTGTGTTTTTAATTTAAAGTTGAAAATTATTATCTAGTATTAATATCCCATAAACGTATTGAGTTATCTGAACTACCAGATGCTAAAGTAGAGCTATCTGGCGAAAAGCATATCACTATGACCATCTAATTAGGCTTTTTATTATCCTATTTAAATATCCCAGAAACAGATAGAGTTATCTCTACTACCAGATACTAAATTTGTTCTATCAGGCGAAAAGCAGACTGACATGACAGAGTCATTATGACCATCTAATTAGGCTTTTTATAA